CCATACCCTGACCCCACGCCGTACCGTCAGTCGTGGTCCACAAGTAACCCGCACTCTCTCCTCCCTACCCCTTGCATCACCAGCGTATCGTAAGCGCCTGTATACTTCGTTCACATGCTGCAATCCAATCGGTTTCGCCCCGTCTTTTCGCCCGCGCACCCGGCTGATTCCACAGCTGTATACCAATTTCGCAACAGACCAAGTCAAACTGCCGCCTCTCTGGCGCTTCATACCTAACGGTACGTATGTGCGTGTAGCACGCAGGGGTCCCCTCACACGCAATCCGCTCTCCGACGCATTCACTTTGCGCACCGCGCAACCGATCCTCGTTGGCAAGCATTATTTTCGGCGCCGAAAATAATGTAACCGCCCTGCGCTGCGCCCATTGGCCATTTCGCCAAGGTGCACAGTACCCTCAACTGATCATCACAGGCGTGCCGATCCCAACACTCGGTACATCCTTCAACCTTCCAGCACTCCTCTGAAATAAAATATACCGTGTGAAAGCAGCGCCACAGCTCTCGACCCAACCGTTACCCTTCAACTCGTGCCAAATGTGGCTCCACTTCCCCAGACCGATCGTCGATACACACAGTTCGAGTAGAAAGCCGTCAAGATATGTCATTCAAAACGTACTAACATCCATGCATTGCCTACGGTAAACACGACGCGCATTGGCGCATCCCGCCACACCAGTCCCCGAACAGCCTTCGCCTAGCCAAGTCTCCTGCGCTTACTGTCCCTTCCCTCGCTCTCCCCCCCTCGCTTGACTCCTACAGCAATCTCGTCCCTGCCGTCGTTACCGTCTTCGTCCTCTGCTTGCTTATTGCCGCAGGCGCCTCCTTCGCTACCGCCCTCGCTGCCGTCGCTGATGTACCCGCTGCCGTCGCCGCTGTCCAAGCTACCACCCTCGCTGCAGCTGCCGTCGCTGCTGTGGTCGTTGTTGTCGTCGTTGCTGCGGTCGTCGCTGTTGTTGCTGCTGCTGCCATAGTCGTTGTCGTTGTCGTCGTCAGCGCCGTCATCGCGTTGGTCATACGTCGGCCACTCGAACTCCTTCCCATACCTCTCCACCCACTCCGCATACCACACTACGGCCCACTCCCTCCACAGCTCATCCGTCGACTTTTTCGGCACCCCGTGAGCGTCCACCAGCACCCCGTCCTCCCTAACGCTCTCCTTGCAATCCATGCAATCCGCACAGCAGTACACCTCCCCTCGCGCTTCATCCCATCCGACGTCCATCTCCTCAACCTCCTCGTCCGCTTTCCACCCCGCCACCAGCAACGTACCATCCGGCCAAACCCTGCACATCAGCGGGTTCAGGCTCTCCTCCGAGCCACGGTCCTCGGCGGCCATGGAAGCCGGCTGTCCAGGGGACGCGCCGCGTTGGTCTCCGGTAGGAGCAGAGCGCGATGTGCTGGGAGCGGCACGCGACGCCGTCATTGTCCGGCGAGGCAGCCTCCAGTAGAAATGAGCCCTCCCTTTGCTACGGTCAGATGGGAACAGTCCGAAATGTAAGTGCACGCACCGACGCGGTTGTACTTCTGGCGAAGCCTGAAGCACTCCTCCGCGCTCCTCAACCTCCAGATCCTGTTGAGCGCGCGCGGCACGGCATCGTAACGCTCATCCTGGCTCATATTCGTCCATCCCTCGATAGTACAGAGGTTCTCCCGTTTGTCAACGCCGTCGGCCGCGGTGGGCAAGCAGTCGTCGTACACCGTGCGTACGGGACCTCCGAGTATCAACCTTCTGCGGGCATACGTATTCTAACGCCGAGCTGATCAGCTTTACAAACATAACAGAGTGTAAACGGTAAACGCACACGACCCATCCTGAAGTGGTTGGCGTTCGTGCAAGGCGGTTAAGGAGGAGTAGGATGCCGACCGAGGGAGCGTCGAGGCGGATCGAAGTCAAGCTTAACCTGACCGCCGTACGCTCCTACGCGCCTCTCACGCCCACGCACGTTAACCCATACCTGCAGACGCCATCAAAACGCCGCAAGCGCTTAACTCAAATCACATCCGAATTCTCCCATTTGCCCAAACGTCGTCGTCGATCGCTTTGAAGGAAACGCGATCGACCCAGGACCATCGGGCCGCAACCCACTGTCGCGCAGGCTCCCTCTATCCAGCCCTGACTGCAGATCGATAGTATCGTACCTGCATTCACACAGTAGTAACAATACGCGCTGTACATTCTTACGTAAATAAATCGACATTCCCCATCCGATAGATCAACGATGTCACCCACCGCCTAAGATCTCCAAACAAACGGCCGCAGAGCGGCGTCAACATCGGTTCGCACTCACGCTGATACAAGACTGATGAAATAGCAATCCAAGCCATATCCTACAAATCGTACAAGCGGGAACGTACAACGCACGCGCGGCGGAAACCCCAAGTCTAACACGCGTTCGTGACGCGCAAACCCTAACCTTAATCGCTCATGCCCTCGTTATCCGACTCCTCGTTGGACAAGTCTGAATCGTACCCGTAGTGTACGAGCCCGTCATCCTTTGACAGGGCGGACTCTCCACCGGTCTCGACATGCTGCTCCTGCGGGCTCGAAGCCCTGCACGCTTCGCACTTGAAGGCGCCGGCTAGAGGCCTGTCCAATATTTCGAAGGGCCACTGTCTTCTCTTGAAGGAAGCCAGGAAGTATCGATGGAGGACATGAGCGTCGAACTCCAGTTCCTGCACTTTGTCCGCGCCAGACCTGATGCCCTCCAACGACAGCCAGTAGTCGTCGAACCGCTTCTCCCTGTCCAGCGTCGCGCCGTACGGCGAATGCTCGAGGATCCACAGAAGACCGTGAGCCCAGTCCCCTCCCCTATCCGAGGCCGCCTCACGAGAAAGCGTAGGCCAATAGTCCCCGCCAAGCCCATCACACCTCAACGCCGGCAGTATCCTCTCCCTCACGAATCCCTCGCGCTCCGCCGCGGAAGTCAGGTCGGGCGTACGATGCTCTCCTCCCGCATCGGCGATCCGAGGTATCCCGGCCCTCTCCGCAACCTCGTCGTCGAGCAAGCCAGCCAGCCAGTGGACTAGCACGAGCGTGTTCATGAGGAACAGGATGCCGGACACCAGCAAGCGGTCACCCTTCAGGAGCTCGATCGTCGGCTCACAACCGCAAGGTAACACGCCCGTGCGCGGCCGCGACGACGGCTGTGACTGCAGTCGAGCAGACTCATCCTTTCCGAAGAAAACGTCATCGCCGTACTTCCAGAAGCGCCCGTGATCGTACTCCTCGAACTGCAACCCCCTCTTCTCCTCTTCCGCCCGGATCCGCTTGAGATCCCGCTTCGTCAACTGCTTTCCCTCCCCCTTTGCCTTCGCCTCCTCTTCCTTCTCCCGCAACCTGATCCTGCTCTCAATCTCCTTCCCGTGCACGCCCAAATGTTTGTCCAGCTGCCTCTGCCTCCACACGTTCTTGAAGTACTGCCCGCCCAAAACGCCTCTCCAGTCCTGAGTCGTCAACCTCTTGACGTCGGCGTCCGTGCGCGCCAGCCTCACGCGATCGAGGAAGAGGGGGAGCATCCGTACAGCACTCACTGCATACGCCACCGTCTTCTCCCAACTCTCACAGTTTGTGAGAACGGTGAACGGCGGCAAGAAAGTCAGCAGCTTTCGCTCGGACGCGAACTTGACGGCGGCCTCCTGCAACACCCGCTCCCTCTCCTCCTCGCTCGCTCGCCAGTTGCGCTCCTCCGTGCCAGCGGCGTTTGGATCGAACGGATGTTTCAAAGCTTCGGCGAGGATGTTTAGATCCTGACTCGCGCGCAACTCTGCCGCCGCATAGGCGGGCAAGGGCTGGGGCATGTCTGCATCTCTCGGCTTCTGCGCGAAGACGCGCTGGAGAGCCGGTGACCTCTCCACGAGGTTGGCGTATCGCTGTACGGAGGAGCCCAAGACGGGGAAGCGGCTCTGCAGCTGCCTCTCCACTCTCCCTCTCACATCCCGAGCGCGCTTGTGAGCTAAACGGGCATTCAAGTCAGCATCGACGGCCCTTACGCGGAGGTCATGTTACTTACCTGCGTCTATATTCTCACCCCTGCGCTTCAAGCTAGTCTGCTGATCGGACAGCTTATAATCGCGTTCGTCGCTCCGAGTTACGTATCCTCTCCCGATCAGCTCGATGTACCGGTAGTCCGAGCGCAACGGCGCGTACCATCGCGCACGCAGCATCTTCTGCTTCAAATCGCCTGCGGGCAAAGTCAACGACACACTCGAAGATTCACGTCTTTGTCCACTCACCGAACGTCGCAGATCTCTCCCTGCTGCACCGCGGCTCGCTGGCTGGCTTGAAGAGCTCGGCCGGTATGTCGAACTCGTTGGTGCTCACGAGCGCATACACGGGTATGTTCACCCGCGTGTACCAACCCAGCATCGAATCGATCTCCTCTCCGATGAGGATGACCCCGCGCCGCACAGGCTCGTGCCCTCGCGGCGCCCCGCGGCGGATGAGGGGGCCGTTCGGACCTGGAGGCAGCAAGTCCGAGAGGAAGTCCAGGTACGCCGTTACCACTCCAATCGCGCGTTGGTGTGCCCGGTTGCACAGAGTGAGATCGGCGAATGTGCGCAGCTTCCCCCATCGCAAGATGCCCAGCGTCAGCATCATGTCCATAACGTCGCGCGTCGGAGGGCGGAGGTTCTTGCACAACCTGCGGACCACGCTTCCCTCGTGAACCAGATGGATCTCGCTGCTGTATGCGTAGCGAAACACCCTTGTCGCCCTCTCGCAACTTTTGCCCAAGTCCTCCGCCCTCTTCCTCATCTTCTCCCACAGAGCTGTCTTGACCCGGTACGTTCCTTGCTGCCATCCGTACGCAACTTCGGTGGGGTTCCCGTCTTCCCGTCCAGCCTCCTTTTCGAGATCGTCGAAGGTGAGCATTCTGAACCGCAGTCTGCTTTTCTCCTCTCGAGACGTCGGGACCTCCAAGTAAGCCGTGTACGGAGACGTGTGGTCCCATGGCTGAGGTTCGCGAGACCATTCGAAGTCGCCCAGCAAGCCGTCGGCGCACGCATCGGCGTAACCCTCTCCGTCCACACGAGGTGCTGCAGGCAGATACGCGCCGTTCACAGCCAACAACGCGGTATCGTCCGCCCATTTGACCGCCGCTTTGCACTGCGTCGGCAACGCTTTCTTCGTCGCTACCGGAGCAGCAACCACACCGCCGAGAGCACTCGCCGAGCCACGATTGCTTGACATGACAGTTTCGATCCAGAATATCTCAGCAACAGTTTATGCAAGCAAAAGTCTCTGAAAGCTCCGAGCGCCGAGGACCGTGGTTCAGATATAGTATGAAGAGCACACGATAGAGCAGTTCGTCCGAAAGCTATATCTCACGACCGCAGGAAGCAAACAAGCGTATTCGCTTGAAAGTGCCACCGCAAGCGCTTGATACGAGAGAAGCAGTCAAAATAAGCCGAGCGTATCCAGTCCAGTTCGCCGGTACGCGCAGGTCAAGGTGGCGGTCAGAACTCAAACCGCGCGAAGCCCCTATACACCCTCCTCGTTTCTCACGCCACCAAGCCGAAGGTACGTACGCATCAACCACTCTTTGGGAATGCGGTTAGCTCTCGAGCCAAGTCGGCCCGACACTCAAACGCAGCCGCGCCAGTAAGCTCGGCGTCAACAAGCCCGATCGGTAAAGTAGCGCTCAAACTCTTACCCATCCACGGCCGCGCCGTCGTCTCGAAGCACACACAAGCTCACGCATCCCTCAGGTCTAGCTCACGCATCCCTCAGGTCTACCAAACATCCATTACCATTCATCGAAGAGCATGCCGCGCTAAGTACGCGCGATCAAGATCTATATACTGGGGGTCCCCTCAAGCGCCGAAGCTCAGACCTCGAGATCGCGACACCGTATGACCGTCAGGTCACCGACGTATTCGTCGGTGGCCCTGCGCCATACGCCCTCCAACCGAGGTAGTCGCGTAGCTGTACGAGGATAACGATCAAGTACAAGCGGCACAGCATGGCGGCCGGAGGAAAACGTGTTCCGTGGGAAGACGCGACACGCAATCCGCCTTGCGCGCAGAGTTCGACGCGACCGCCATCTCCAACCGTCGATCAACGCCGATGAACGGTCAACCCGTACACCACCCGCACACCAGGCCAATTGGGTAGAACTGCAGCTTCCCGGCGAATACGCCGGGACTGACAGCTTTACCCTATTGCAATCCCGCCGCCGTCCATTCCTCAACGTCAACCCCCGACTCGCGTCAAGCTCTCCGCGGCGTTGAAGTTCCCATCACCTCACGGCGACCGACCTGATAACTGGTGAGTGTTTGCATCCCCCATTGGTGCCAACTACCAACCGTGCCAGCTATCCAGGCCCTCCGACGCAGACGGAAAGGCTACCAGACGCCCTCCCCCAACACGAACCCGAGCCGCTCCGGGACAACGTCAACAACTTTCCATTCATACCATAACTGTACGCGTGTATCCAGCCTCACACATCCTCGTTGTACAGTGTTGTATTATCTTATATACGCAAACGCACATACCTCGCTACGCTCGCCCTGTCTCTACGGACCGTATGCTTAAATATAGCAATTTTATTCCCTTATCCAACGTCAAGTCCCCCACTATCGACCAGCATCTCATCACCAGTCAACAGTCAGAAAGCGGAAGCGCAGCAAGAACCCGCTCCCTCGTACACAAACGCCGAAACGACGCCAACCGCCGCGCACGCGTAAACCCCTCCCCCTCACAACAGCGCCAGCGTCATCTCACATAGCACCGCACACCTCACGCCGATTGACATACCACGCCAATCACTGCCCGCAGGCGCAGCGCCCGTCGCACGGCGCTCCCGTTGAAGATCGGGCTCGGCACCGGCATCGGCGTAGCGCGCCACAAGTTGCAAGGCGCGCGTAGCCGAGCATGAGGCGGGCACACCGTTACGCCCACACACATCATCGGTGGGTCCACTCGCGATCACGCTCGCGTTCGAGGACAAATTCGCTAACGTTTAAAAGACGCGCTCGCGCAAACGTCAAGTCTTGTGCCAACCGCCATCTTGCCGCCTATGGCTCCGCCAGTCGCCCACACCTTCGTCAAGCGCGAAGTATCCCCCTCTCCCATGCATTCGCCCACCTTCGCCACGCGCGTCAACCACGAACCCGCGATCGACGCGCAGGCCGCAGACGCCGCCGCGCGCGCCGATCCGCCTCAGCGCGCTCAAGTTAGTTCGACATCCGACGCGCCTCGCCGCACCTCCGCCGTGCGACCTATACCGCTCGTGTTGGACCGCGAGTCGCAAGAGCCGCCCCCCCTTGACCCTGATCACGCCGCCCTCCACCGGCTCGTAGGCCTGCATCCTCACGAGTCTATGGTCGAAGCGCAGGTTGTCGCCGAAGACGGCGTGTCCTTGCGCCACCCCACCGACAACAGATACATCCCATACGACCAGGTACCCCGGTGCGTGATCTTTTTCAGCTACCGCAACGTTTACTTACCCGATCTCGCCTGACAGCGACGTCCTCGAACGCTTCTTCTCGCCCAACCCTGTCCCTAAGATGCAGGAAGACACGCCGGACGAGTGTCGCTTGTATCCCACTGTCGGGGAGGTCAAGCCGGACGACACGAATTATTTGGTGGTGCGTGAGCGATCCCTAACCCCATCATTACACTGTACTGACATTAACTTTTACAGAACCCCGTCGTGCTCACGGGCGCTGATCGCTGCACCCACTGCCGCGAGAACTACGAGGATTACGACTGCATTCGGTCGACATGCAACCGCTCCCGCCGCGCACCCGTCCCTCCGTGTGATTACTGCCTGATCCTCAACATTCCATGCGATGTTAAGGAAGGCAAGCTTCGGCACAAGCGCCATCCCGCCAAGCCCTACGACAGACCGGCACGCCAAACTGGCGGCTCAGTTCAGCGCCGCGCCCCCTCACTCCCTCCCGTTGCCGGTCCGTCGAACCACCCGGACGCGCTCATCATCACGCCTCCGCCGCCTGACAACAAGTCCGCGCCGGCCCCCGGACTTCAGCAGGGCACCAACGTCGGTCAAGTTCGCGGCATCGGCCACGCAGACTCGCACGCAGAGTCGCTATTGGCCCGTATCGACGCGCTCGAGCGCCGCATCGCACAGCTCGAAAGCCGCGCGCCTTGAACGCCGCACGTCTCTTGGGGTTAGCCGCACGCCGGTCTCCGCCTTCTCTCCCTGCTTGTTTTTCTTTTTCATCATGTATCTTCCTCTTGTGTAAAATTCTCCCTGTCCACGCTAGCACATTAATACAGTAAAGACCTTAATGTCACTGCATTCTCCAAACAGCCAGCGTGGTCACTTCATACGTGAACCGCAAGCATCAGCTCTAGCGCGTACCCCAGCGCAACGCTTCCCGTTAGCCGGAATGGCAGGCGCGGCATACCGGGCAAGTGCTCTCGGCGGGTAAGTTCTCCCGCAACGCCTCGTGCATCACCCCGACTAACGATCACCCGCAGCGCGCAGCTACTAGCGTGCCTCGTGAGTGCCCCGCGTGTGGATCTCCGGTTCTAGCCCCACCGCCATTCTCACCCCGGTATCCTTGCGCCCCGTTTCTAACTTGGTTCCACACTAGCCCATCATTGCGGTTGCGCCACCGAATACCCCATGATCCGAGCGGAGAGCGGACTCCGCAAACGTCATCATCTCCAGAATGTTCTTCGTCTGGAAGACGGAACGACCGGAATCATCACAAACCCATTTCGGCGTATCTCGCAGACGGCAACACCCTCACGTTGTGCATTCTGGCTTTGCAAGGTTCGGTATATACAGGTAAGATCCAATGCTGAGACTTCATACATCGTACAAGGCACGAACGCCGAAAGTGCCGCAAAGCGCCGCGGGAGCATACCACCAGAACTTACCCTGCCCACTGCGTACTCCTCTACGCGAACGTGAGCGGCCCACACGCGCGCTTTCCCGCCCTAACCCTACACCCGCTTGAGCCAGTAAGTCCAAGTGGCACCTGGTGTATCACACACAACAGCTCACCGGCTAGGCTCCATCGCGCAGCGTAGACGGGGTTCTCGACATCGCACGCTCAGCGCCAACCGGGCCAGACCCTGAAAAGTATCGTCAGACCGCACAGCGGTTGAATACACCAAGGTGCGTACCGTCGAGGCTGACCAAGACGTCCGTAGCGTCCTTGGCCAGAGCCTCCCAGCTCCAGTCGCAGATGTACAGGTTGTGCGTCAAGCTGAAGCAGCTCAGCGTCCGCATATCCCACACCACGACGTCCGGCCACTTCGCCCGCGCGCACGCGCGGACATGGTTGGCAAACTCCTGGTCCGTCTTTAGCACCCAACCCCATCAACAGGTGAGCACTTACGTCGAAACTGGAGCAGGCGTCGACAATACGCCGCCACTCCGATCCGGACCAGCGTGTCGCGTACATATCGAGATCGAACGGGCGCAAGGGGTGAGCGTCGCAGGTCTCTACTAACAACTCTTTATATGCGGTGAAGTCCCCTTCCCCCTCCCCAGGCTCACACGCCGTTCAAGCGCAGACTTCTCAACGGAGCGTTCTCGCATGTCACCGCTTGCCACGCCGATACGCCAGAGCCCTGGCGACTCGGCGGGGAAGGTATGTACACTTACAGAACCCCGCTTGACTTCCCTTCGCGCGAACGATCGCCGAGCACACATTTCCCGTGTGAAGAGCTACACGCCAGACTCACTCGTTCACCAACGCCCTCACCAGCTTGCAACTTCGGCGCCCAACCCATATCCTAGCGAAGGTAAGCCCACACGATGGGGTATTGCTTCACGCCTGCGTCCCGCTCGCATTCTCCAATAACGGTATCTAAAACACTTCATTATACGACAACCCTAACCCTCTTCTGACACCACAGCTGACCCAGCACCGGCCACAGGTCTAGAACGGCGCCCTACGAAGAATCAGTGCCACAAGGCCAAGCGTGGGAACGCGTCCATCGCTGCCGAACACCATCAAGTCGCCGCGTGCACCTTGCATTACGCCACCATCTACGACTTCGCCGCCGCTATCCCATTCCCCAACACCGCGCGAGTTGGTACGGTAGCTTCCCGGCGAATCCGCCGGGACTGCTGGTATCCACCCGCGCCACCTATCCGCCACATCCGCGAGCGCGCAAATCTGGAATCCCGCCCAACGGCCGCCTGTACGGCCAGCTCTCGACGGGTACGTCTGCGAAATACTCTAACACTTGTACCACCTCATCTCAGCTGCTCCTTTTATTTTGGTTCTCAGCCAGACTCTCGAGTCCGTACCGGAAGCCTGACTCGCCTTCGCGAGCTTCGCGCGGCTCTGAATAAACTGCAACCCAGCGCCTGCCGCCAGGCATCTCCGATCGACCGCATCCGCTCCGCTTGTTATCACACAAGCCCGAGGTAAGTGTACGTAGCACCCTTCGAACAACTCGCTCACAACCGCACGCAGGACCGCGCCCACTTACTTTCCGTCCACCTTCGCCCGTCCTTCCCCCTCCCTTCCCCCGATACTTCAAGCCACGCAAGATCACAGCGCATAACGTACTCCTTCTTCACCCCTCCCGTTACAATCGATAGACTTAACGTACACCAAATGTCGTACCACACTCAGACGCGCGCTCGCACACGACCATAAGCAATCATTACATTACAGTCTTGTACTACGTTCTCCCGGCGTACCGACTCTGCTCGCAATCTCAAAGTATCCTGATTCAAAATGTCAATCGTAATGCTGCTCCTGCCTTTTACCGTGTTGGCCCACGGTTGCACTCGTCGCCGCCTTCTCCTCTCGTGAGTGCGAGCTCGGAGGCTTTACGCGCTCAGCGCAACGTTACATTATTTTCGCCTCAGGAAATAATGCAACCGCCTTGGGCTGCGCTACCCGGCACCGCCCATCAGTTCTTCACTAAGGCCCCACCCCACAGCCGCGCATCCGTCAGCCTACATCCCCGGTGACAAGGTTCGACGTCGCTATTCTCTCATTTTGGTAAGTTGACAACATGTCAACCGGCATCGGACGCCTCTGACATCTCCACCCAAGCGCAGGCGCTGTCAAAACAACCCCTCGATACCCCGCTCCGCTCGCAGTAACGCTAAACCTGACGATGCTCCTCGCCGGCTCTCGCGCCGTCGTCTCAAGTATCTGGCCGCCCATCTGCGAAGCATCCCATCCCCCCACCCCATCTCCTCCGCTCACCCACCCGGCACCGTACAAGCATGGGCGCCAAGATCAGCAACCTTCACTCTCGCAAGACCTCGTTCGACTCGCCCGACCTTCCTTGGGAGTTACTCCAGCGCTTCCAACATCTGGGCGAGAAGCCGGCTCTCAGGAAAGTCCGAGTCGACGACGAGGAACTCAAGCGCCGTGTCGGCTCGCGTCACTGGCCGATCTATCAGATCCTCGACAGGCACCCTCTCCTGGAAGGGCTCAAAGGCTACACGCAAGACTCTCGCGTCTTCGTCATACTCATGTCTAGCGATCCCGCCGACCTCGAGTATGTGAACGACTGGACGAAGAACGAGGTCTGCCCGACGTCGCCCGAGGTCAATCTACCCGCCCGAGGTACGTACGTTCGCTCATTACACCCGTGTCGCACGATAACCTTCCTGACAGGCTACGTCGAGGCGCGGGCCGGCGATTTTATCTTCGCTCGCGATGCGGCAGACGGCGACGCCGAGCACGGCTTCTTTGACGTCTTTCAAGGCGCTGTCGTCGGCGAGTAAGTATCCCTTCATACGTCTACCTATTCCTCTCGCCGCTCACTGACTATCTCTCAGGCACCAGTTCACGGACGACATGCGCCAGCGGTTCGACGCGCTACAGGCCGAGGTTCTAGGCCCACGCGAAGATCGGGATCCGGAGAAGGCGCGCAAGGTCGGCAAACCCTCTGGCGGGTTCGGCCCAAGCTACGTCGGCGGCACGCGCCTATGTTAAGTATCCCCATACTAAGCTGCCTAGTATGGTCGACCGCCGGTAGGGCGCGGCCAAAGTACTGTAGACGTACCTACTAGGTCCTAGGAGACCGGGGCCGCACACAGAAATACCGTACCTAGCATAGTTCTAGCAGGGGGGGTGGGTCTGGGTCGGCGCGCCCCCCGCGCCCGCACAGCGTCACGTGCTACGATATATATATATATTATTGCACCATCGTCTTCGCCAACCTTGAAAACCCCCGCGGCGTACTTTCTACGCTTCAGGAACATCTGTAAGGCATCGAAAACGGTTAAAAACCGGGGGAGGGAGGAGGAGAAGGTCTCGGGCACATGCATCCGAGGGGGGCGGTCGCGGGGGACCCCTTCCCATGTGTTCTGATAACTTGGAAATACGATTAGTAGATACTAGAAGATATATCCAGAGCTACAGGCACTCACCGTATACCGTACAGGTACTGTGGCACCCCAAGTCGACCGCGGGGGGTGCACATTGCGATGCACAGATGCGCACGCGATGCGGGGGGCCTCTGTGTACGTAGGCAATGAAGTGGTCCAAGCGCGCGGGTGCACAGTGCGCAAGGTAAGCGCGTTCGGTGTAGGGCGTAGGCGATGAAGTGATCCAGGTGCAGGAACGCGAGTTGGATGGAGGGCATAGGCGATGAAGTGGTCCAGGCGCGCGGACGAGGGTAAGCGCGTTCGGTGGAGGGCGTAGGCGATGAAATGGTCCAAGCGCGCGGGTGATTAACGCGCAGGGTAAGCGCGTTCGGTGGAGGGCGTAGGCGATGAAGTGGCCAGAGCGCGCGGGCAAGGATGAACGCGGTGGAAGGAGGGCATAGGCGATGAAGTGGTCCAGGCGCGCGGACAAGGGTAAGCGCGTTCGGTGCAGGGCGTAGGCGATGAAGTGGTCCGAGCGAAGGAAAAGACTTACAAGTATAAGAGAATCGAATGCGAGCGGGCGAGGGCGCGCGCATAATGCGCAGGAAAATTGTGGCAATCGCCAAAGATGTATGCATTAAAAAAGCCGTACATGAAGCGTGATGCAACGTAGACGGGCGTGGACAGAGCGTATCGTAGGGGGTCGTGATGATAGCGAGCACAAGATG